CATCCTTCCAGTTGCTGTATGTGGGACGCGGCCCCAGCATAGCCGGAGAAGTGGTGCGCACCCGGGATCCGAACCCGGGCTGCCAGCAGCGGAGCGCATGCACTTAACCGCTAAGCCACGGGGCCGGCCCCTATAGGCATACTTTTATTGGCTGCAATAATAGCATAATCACTAAGGCTGGCCTATGGAATCTCACTGCCCCTGGTGTGAAGCCAGAGTCCATCAGTCACATGCTAGTTGTGTGTCCTGGGCCTGGTGCTTAACCTCTTTAAGCCTCACTTTCCTCATCTGTAAAATGGGGATCATAATAGTAACATATCAAGGAGTTGTTGTGAGAATGTTTTGAGTTAACAATACATTCAAAGCATTTATTACAGTGCATGGCACATACTAAACCCTCCATAAATGTTAGCTAGTACTATTACTGTTGTTGTTGCAACAAGTAGATACACCAAGGTTTACTTAATCATTTCCTGATTATTATACCTTTAGGGTGGGTGCAATTTTTTATTATAAACAATACTGTGGTGAGCATATAAATACATAAAGCTTTTTTCCCTATTTAGAATTACTTTTTTAAGAGAAATCCCCTAATTGGAATTATTAAGTCTAAAAGTAAGACTACTCTGAGGTTTTTAATAAATTATGTCATACTGTTTTCCAAAACAGCAGTTCAAATTTACATTTGACATTTTATAGGCAAACACTATGTTACATTTCATCTTCAAATGCACATTTTATTCCTTTACTAAAGTGGAAATTCTGTGCATTCCTAGACTTCTGGGATGTCATTCTAGCACTCCAGAATTCCTCAGTACCTCCAGGAATGGTTAGAGAGAGTTTACAAGCAGGATGCATAAAATGGAGTGCTGGTTTTACATTTCTAGGGTCTTTCTTCTATAGATACAGACCTGCTATTACATAGGCACATATACTGCTCAGAAACTGCTATAGGTTTTCTTGCTGATGAACCCCTAAGGCTTCAAAATTGTCAGTCATCAGTCCCTCAACACTCGGAGAAGTCGGATTCTAGGAACCAAAAAGTCCAGAGGAGAGGCAGTAAATGGCGACAACCAGAAGGGGCGAGGAGCTGAAGTCACGCTTTCCTTATTACTCTCTGTGACTTTCCTTCTGCAGAGCACACTAGGCTGGAAGGAAGGAGGAAGAGGAAGAGAGAGTCTTCCGGGAGAGGAAGTCCCACTCTGGAGCCCATTCGCAGCTTTGCCACTCACTCTCCAAAAGATTTGCAGCTAGTTTTTTTTTTCAACCTAATACATTTAAATTTTCCTATTTGCAATGCAAACTATTTTATTTGGGATGGATTGTAACACATTTATTCTTTGAAACATTTTATTATGGAAAGTTGCAAACATATATAAAAGTAGAGAGATTCATATAATAAACCCCCATGTACCTATCACTCAGTTTCAACAACAATCAACTCATGGCCACGCTTGTTTGGGCTACAGCCCCACTAATAGATTGATTTTAAGACTAAAGGTCTTGGGCCGGCCCCGTGGCTTAGCAGTTGGGTGCGCGCGCTCCGCTGCTGACGACCCGGGTTCGGATCCCGGGTGCGCACCGACACACTGCTTCTCCGGCCATGCTGAGGTGGCGTCCCACATACAGCAACTAGAAGGATGTGCAGCTATGACATACAACTATCTACTGGGACTTTGGGGGAAAAAATAAAATAAATAAAATTAAAAAAAAAAAAAAAAGACTAAAGGTCTTAAAGGCTTTGAGACTAAAGAGTATCTCAATAATGCCTTTTTTCGTCTAGAGGTTCCATAAAAGTCTTGTCTCCTAGAGGTTTAGGTATAGAAAAGAGAAAACAAACTTCTGAATGAAATTAGATTATATGTTCTTATTTGAAATAATTTGGGAGAGTCATACTTCTATTTTTGAAAGTCTCAAGGCACTTTGATGGCATGTTCAGGGGCTAAGCTGCGGAGGCTGGGTGGCGAGCGCACCCTGCACCCCAAGACTTACCTGAACTCCCTCTCCACGGCATGGGCGGATGGAAGCAGTGTCCCCGGGGGTTTCTTCCTCAGAACCAGCTGACGGTCTGCCAGCCTGATGTAGTAAGTTGGATTTGACTGCCCATGATCAAACTGAAGGAGTTCCATTGGGCCTGCAAGTGTGAAAAAAAAGAAAACTCACACCAGCTCTAGAGGACGGATCTGGACAGACGTGCTTTCTTTCTAATGAGCTCCACATCTGGGATGCAGAACATCCTATCTGAGATGCACCATAAGGAAAGCACCTCCTCCCTGGGTACCAGAAGTGACTGAGTCACAGGCATACCCCGTCAGCTCAGGTCCAGGATCGCCTGTCACTACAGCGTGGCAAAGGTCACTCTATTTACACTACAATAATTTCTCACTTTGTACGGGTATCCAATTTTGTCCTTCTTGCCAACTCCTGCTCCGTGAAGAAAAGCTTTCTAGTTCTGTTTATCAACCACAAGCACAGTCATGGCAACTCATCTTGCTAAATGGAATGCTTTAAGCCCAAGGATGAAAAATGTCCTTGTGCGACCCTCAGCCCATACTTGGCCAAACCATGCCTGACGCTGGCTCGACAGCTGACAGGAGCTCTGCAGAAGCCTGCAGCTTAAGCCAAAGCTGCTTTCACGAGATGCACTTTCCCACCCCAGTAGGCTGAACTCTGGAGAAACATCCTAATTAACCTTCAGCTTCATAACAAGACTGAACTCTGGACATAGACTCGTTTCACTTGGTCAGAAGAGCAGGAAATGCGAGTTTGCCTGAGTTCGCTGGCCTGGTCAGAGAGGGCCCTTCAGCTTTGTAGAAGCACTACGACCAATCCAGTCACTGGAAAACATCATAACATGAAGCTCCATAAAGAAAGACTTTTTCGAGGATCAATGGGTAAAGCAAAACTTTATCACCAGGTAGGAATTTCTTCAAAAGCTCATGAGGCACCTGTTTTTCTGAGGGTGGAATGTGAAGAATGAGAGAGGGACCGTTGAAGAGATGGAGACAGCTTGTCACATTTTAAATTCACGCAACTTTTAAATCACCTTCACAAAACAGGCTGTCACGTCAAAAAACTTAGAAACACTCAAACGCCCCTGGGCACATCCGGCAGTCGCAAGTTCCTCTCCTCCACTGCTGCCACTTCACACTCTCAGGGGTAGGCGGGCAAGCACACTTTTGGGGATCTATAGAAAAGGAGGTAATGCTTCTTCCCAAGTAAAACTGAAAGCAGCACTCAGCTCCGCCTGGCCCAGCGGCTATTTTCCTCACCACATCCCTCTGTGTCTCCAGCATATTCCACTAGGGTTTGAAAGTGAGAACCAGACTGAAAGCCTAGCCTTTACGAAAACACAGAAACTTAAATACCTGTGGTTTGGGTCCCCAGTAAGTCTCTGAGGTACTTCTTCAGGGAATCCTTTGGAATTTCCATTGTCTTTCTCACGGGGCGAGTGTTGGGAATAACCATTCTCAATGTAAAACCCAAAAGAGTTTCCAATTCCCTTACTGCAGTCTCTGGGTCATTAACCTGATTTCAAAGAGAAAATTGAACATGTTAACCTGGTTAACACTGGTTAACCCTGAGCTCTCCTCCTGTCTCTTCTCTAAGAGGGTAGTTTTTTAGAGGGAAATATCCTAGAAGTCAGTCTCCTAAGCAAAGACTTTGGAGCCAGGATATTCACCTAATGAGGAAGCCACAGAATGGGTTTCCTCTTCCCATTTAATTCCTAACCACATTAAACTTTCTTATCTGCTGGAAAGAGGGCCAGTTAAGAGTCCATGATATTCTCTTGTGCCAGGAGGGCAGAATATTGTGCTGTGGCATCCACTCTGTCCCTCTGAGCCCATCAGCTTCAGAATGAAAACCCCAACATAGGGGCTGGCCTCATGGCCTAGTGGTTAAGTTCAGCGTGCTCCGCTTTGGTGGCCTGGGTTCGGTTCCTAGGCGTGGACCCACACCACTCGTTGGCAGCCATGCTGTGGCAGCAACCCACAGACAAAATAGAGGAAGATTGGCATAGATGTTAGCTCAGGGCAAATCTTCCTCAGCAAAAAAAAAAAAACAAGAAAGAAAGAAACTTGAACATAGAAAGCTGGGACCAAGACCCTCTCTCACATGGCTTCTTATGCTTCACAGCCATGACCTGGGGTGGTCTGTGTGGCTGGTCAAGACTGGCTCCCCACCCAGAACAGCATCACTACAACAGCCTGACTGCCATCACAAAGGTCTTAAGTCAATCACCTCCTTGTGTAAGTCTTTTCTCAAACTGCCTTCTTAATACGTGTTTGTCTTACCTCCCATTGAAAATACAAGCAGCTAGTCACATAGATTTCATAATTTATAAAAAATAAAGACTACAGCAGCATGGGGGAATACCACTAAACACAGCCACAACTACGAATGTGAGAGGACTGCACAGAAATGCTTACACTAGTGCCTGGTGCACAGTAGGGGTTCAAAAAATAGTGACCATTACCTTAATGGTGCAAATACCAAGGCTGGCAGCTGCCTTTATATTCGGTCCAAGATCATCAAGAAAGATGGACTCAGAAGGCTGCAGGCCGAGTCGCTCCAAGCACAGCTTATATATCCTGGGGTCTGGCTTGCAGATACCTTCCAGGCAGGATTCCACGACCTGAGGGAAGCACAGGATGAGAAGCGAATGTCCCTTAAAAGTGGCGCCCCCACACGGATGCTGGTATAGTTTTTGAAAAGAAGAGCAGAAGGAGGACAGCTGAGATTTGTTGTAACAAGTAACTTGAGAGTCTTACGATATCGAAGGGGAGGAAGACTATCCTCTACCCACTCTGGGTCCTTTCTGGCTGGGCTACAGATTAAACTGACGTGAGACCAAATAGCAGGAGAAAATTAAACAAAGTTTAATAACATGGATACATGAGAGAAACCAGGGAAACTAAGTTTCTCGACAAATGGCAGAGGTTTTCACCTTAAATAGCATCTTCAGATAGACAAAGGAGGATGTTGGGGTAGTGGTTTGGGATTTTGGAGGGGAAGAAGACAATTCACATGGAGATGGAAACGCAAATGTTTGTCAAACAGCTCTTTACAGGGCCACCTATAGAGAATGTGGCTGGAGAGACAGAATGTTTTATAAGATGGGCTTGTTGGTGCCTTTCTTATCGCATTTTTTTACATTATACTACAGCTCTCACATGGTAGTGGCTCCTTCCTGGAACAGGCCTTCTATGTTAAATTCTTTAGGCAGTTTGGGAGGGGAAGGTCAAATGTCCTTCAGAGAAAATAATCAAGGTAAAGAGACATATTTTGAGGTGGCCAATTTTGATCTCCCACAATATAAAATGATATTGCTTTTTTAAGTTTACCGATTTGGAAATACTGGGTTACAACCTGGAGGCAAACTTAGAAAACCAAAGTTCTGGTTCAGATAGTGACCTTGTGCAAACAGCAAAGCCACGATGGCCCTCAGTTTCATCATCAGTATAACAAGAATACTAATAGCCATCTTACCTGTCTTGGTGGTTGTTGTGAAACTTAAATAAAACTTGAATGATTTCCAAAATGACCAAGCATTTTGCTAGTATTAGATAGTGTGGCTAAAAAGAGCAGAGGAAAAGCTGAAAATTTCAGCTTTAGGGAAAGTATTTCACCAATTTTCTCAGAAACAAGGCACCGTTTACTGCTACAAAAGAAACATGACCTTAATGTCTATATTTCAGGAGTTAAAAAACAAACAGCCATAGTCGATTTAGACAGATAAATCCCACGGGAGGGCTGTCACAAAGAGGCTGTCAGTGGCCAAGACACTGTTCCTTTCACGCGAAGAGCCTCCTATCCTGACAGCCTTGCTTCAACGGTGTATCTGATCTGGAACCAGGGGGGCTGCTGAGGGTTCAGGAGAACCCCGAAAAGCCATCTCAGAGCCAGGCTCGCTCTGATCCAGCAGCCCCCTGGAAGTCCCCTCACACTGTCCCCAGGGCTTAATCTCCTATAAAGTGGGACTCACACAGCCACAGAGGCCTATAACCAATACCCTCTAGTCTGCCCTAAGAATAGAACTACGGTAAATCCCTGACTCCCTCCTGGAATGACCCCTGATCTCTAAGACCAAAGACAAGCCTGAGGGCCCCTCCCTCTACTCCACATTCACATTATTCGGAGTTGGGTGAGAACTGCCCTTTCAGGTAAACAAACGTCCTGCATAAACTGGACCTCTCTTCCTACTCTCGTATGGACCAGAACGAGCCGAAGGAAGACAAGGAGGCTCGTTCTAAAGAAAACGTCAATGGTGGGTAGCAGAGAAGCTGGGTGTTTCAGCAGCAATCACCGTACATGCTGCATGAAAGGAGCACAGCTGTACCGGCTGAGACAGGAGAGGGGAGCGGGGAGTGAACCCCGGGGAAGGGGGCCAAGCCCTGACAAGCAGACACGTCCTCTCACAGGTGATTATATTCCAGGGAAGTGAAAAAATTCTTAAGATTTAAGTTTGATAAGATCCCTGGCCTCCTCCTGCTCTGTTTTGCAAGATGAAAAAGCTCTGGAGATTTGTTTTACAACAATGTGAATATACTGAAACTATTGACCTGTACACTTAAAATGGTTAAGATGGGAAATTTTATGTTATGTGTTTTTTAACAAGAAAAAATAATGCAAAAATTTTTTTTAAAGAGCCACATATACCTCAGCAGAGACAGAGTCCTACAATATTGACTGAAGAGTTCAGGATCAGCCTCCAGTGTTGACAGAGATCCTAGGAGTGGTTACACTATCGTTACCCCTATCAAAATATTTTTTTTGCCTTATAGCTTTAGAGAACAAAAACCTAAACTCTTGCTCTTGAGGAAATTGGATTTTCAAAACTCCAGGTCTTCTGCAGACATAAAATACGAAAAACCATCAGAAAAGCTGCTGGAAAGCACAGGCCAGAGAGCCCGTGAAGTCTGAATAAACAAGTCTGTTAAATAGCAGCTTCTAGCTGAACGTGAGCCTGGCCAACTTAATTTGTCCAGATGAACATATTATCCCTGTAGCCGCACTGGATGGAAGGACTCGCTGAAAAGAATCACAGTGTACTGAACATGTAACTGTGTGCAACCACTATACAAAGTACTCGGCATACATTTTTCTCTGGGATCCATGCAGCTAGTTTACAGCAAAGAAATTGCTATTCTTGAATTACAGGCGAGGAAACTGAGGTTCAGGGAAGCACAGCTACGGCCCAGGGTCACCTGGCCACAAGCTGAGACAGGATTGAATCTGGCTGAGGTCCCCGGGCGCTCAGAGGGGAGGGAGCTTGCAGGAGGGCCGTGTTGTGGACAAGCGAGCGGGGAAACCCACAATCAAAGCAGGGATGGAGCCAGGAAAGGGGTACAGAGGAGGCAGAACTCTATCTCCGAGGGCTTTTCTACAGTGGGGAGGGAGGTAGAGGATGCAAACAGCATTAGGTTAGGCAGTTAACTTGAACACTTGTGCTCTGAATTTCTGCCTGTCAATTCTGCCAGGCTTTATGTTCTAAAATAGCAGTATCCAATAGAACTTTCTACTATGATGACGGAAATGCTATATCTTTGCTGTTCAATATAGTAGCCACTAGCCACACGTGGCGGCTGAGCACTTGAAATGTGACAGGTGGGTATTCCACAGAGTTGGGATTGTGTCTATCACAGTGACACAGTATCGCTTCCCGCCTAGCCCAGCCCCTGGCACATAGTAACTGCTCAGTAAGAATTTGTTTTCTGACTGAATGAAGTTTAAGCAAGTCATCTATCAATAACTCATATCTATCCCAGGATAATGATCTATTTTCTCTTAGGGAAATGGGGAATCTTTCACTGAAGTAACCTCCTGCCATAGAAGACCACTTCTCGACTCACTATATTCTCAGGGTACTTTGAGAGCCTAGCACTGTGTGCTCCGTCCACTATAGTAGTCACTAGCCATATGTGATTATTTACATGTAAATTAAAATGAAATAAAATTCAGTTCCTCAGTGACACTAGCCACATTTCACATAGCCATATGTGACTAGGATCACCCACATTGGGCATTTCCATTCCTCCAGAAAGTTCTATTGGACAGAGCTGGTCTAAGGATTAATGCCATAGAAATGGAGGGCAGCACGTCGATCTTTGAAGAGAAAAGGTCAAAGGGCCCATGAAGACGTGAGGGCTGACAGAAGTGTGTGATATGTGATGAACAAGGTTCAAATCCAGAATGGAAGGGAGTCTCTAACGCTGTGGTGTCAGCCAGTGATCAAATCCCACAAATGTCTCACCTTGCTAAGAGCTCAGTGATACTTTAAAAGTCCTCTTTTCGACCTGTTACGTCTAAACCTAATTTAGTCAAGTGTCTGAATAAAAACCCATTAGGCTCAAGATCTGCTGAAAGGCAGCGCTGACTGCTGCATCCTGAAATGAGCACAGAGACCCAACCTTGATTGTTCTGGATCACTTCAAGCTTACCACATCAAACTGTTTCCGGTCCAGGGGCAAAAAGCTTTTCCCATTGGGAAGATAAAAATTATTGCTCAAGACTGCAGTCCGAAGGCCTTTTGCCCGAATTTGAGTTATGGCCTCAGTCATCACTGGGAACTGCTTCGCCACTTGCTCACTGGTCAGCAGAGAGAAAAAGGAGTCCACAGGCACCGGGGTCTCTGACTAAGAACGGGGGAGGGGAGAGGAGAACCGGCAGTCATTAAGAGAAAGATCAACTGATCCCCAACAGAGGAAAACACACGTTCCTGTCTCCTACTGCTACCGGGTTGCAAGAGCCCGGCCTCTGGCTGGCTGCCCCTGTGCAGAGCTTTGCACGTAAGGCTGTAAAAAGTGACTTAGAATTAGAGTTACAATGGTAAGGCAATGGAGCTATTTATATCAATATTCCAGTTAATGAGTTCTTTATTTCACTCATGGATTGTCAATTTAAAAAGGTATCAGAATACCATAAGAGGATACAGTAAACTCTAAAAGTGTATTAAGCAGATGTAATTTAATTTTTAATGATCCAGAAGACATTTCATGATTTTGTATTGCCTCAGCATCACCATTATGAACTTCAGTTTCTGATCAATTTTTTTTTGTTTTTAAATTCAATCTGTGTGGGGTTTTTTTTTTTTTTTTTGTGAGGAAGATCAGCCCTGAGCTAACATCCATGCCAATCTCCCTCTTTTTGCTGAGGAAGACCGGCTCTGAGCTAACATCTATTGCCAATCCTCCTCCTTTTTTCCCCCCAAAGCCCCAGTAGATAGTTGTACGTCATAGTTGCACATCCTTCTAGTTGCTGTATGTGGGACACGGCCTCAGCATGGCTGGAGAAGTGATGTGTTGGCGCGCGCCCAGGATCCGAACCTGGGCTGCCAGTAGCAGAGCGCACGCACTTAACCGCTAAGCCACGGGGCGGGCCCCTGTGTGGGTTTTGAAAACTCTTATTTTATCATGCTCAAAATCTGCAAAGGCAAGTCTATTTTACACACACACACACATTTTATAACAGCTTTATTGAAACACAGTTCACATACCATGCAATTCACCCATTTAAACTGTACAATTCAATGGCTTCAATATATTCCCAAAGTTGTGCAACCATCACCACAACAATTTGAGAACATTTTCATTACCCTAAAAAGAAACCTCATACCCATCAGCAGTCACTCCCCATTCCTCTCCTAACCCCAATACTCCCAGTCCTAGAAAATCACTAATCTACTTTCTAAGATTTACCTATTCTGTATATTTCATATAGTAAATGGAATCATACAATATGTGGTCTTTTTTAACTGGCCTCTTTCTTTTACTTAGCATAATGTTTTCAAGGTGTATATATATATTTAAAATTGTGGTAAAATATACATAACATAAAATTTGCTATTTTAACCACTTTACGCGTATAGTTGAGTGGCATTAAGTACATTCGTTGTTGCTCAACCATTACCATCCATCCACAGAACTTTATTTACTATATTTTAAATAATATTTTAGCAGGGTTATTGTGAAGGTTACATGAGTTAATATAAACAAAGAGCTTACAACAATGTCTAGTATAGAGAAAAGGCTCAATATTATTTTCTTTCAATAAGTTTTCTGATCATGCAGATAGCTCCTGTTTCAGATGAACAATACATGATGGAAGGGCTTAGTAAACAATATTTGTACTTATTCATAAATGTAGTTAAAGTTGAGCACCTGGGATGGAAGAAATAGCTTAAATACTTATAAGGGGTTATTAAGTTTTCATTTCTTTATTTGCAGTTTAACCAACTTAATGGATGAGTGTTGCATCCACTACTCTAGGCAAAAAAAATATGGAAATTCAAGTATGTTTATCACTCACAATTTCAGAGCAGAGTCTCCCAAATGCTTGAAAGAAATCTTCTGTTGTTATCTCTCCTCTCATAAATGTCATCCAGGGCCCTTTTTCACCACCTGAGATCAAGGCCTTCAGTATAGTTCCGGAAGGGATCTGATTTTGTACCTCCCATTCTAGAGGAAGTAAAATAGGCCATAAGTGAAATACATCGACAAATGGCTGGGGCTTGGGGCATTCAGGGGAATTACATACCAGTTCCTGTGGCATCACTGTAGTGCCAGGTGGGTTCTCTTGGGAATTCGGAGAAATTCAGGAAATGCAAAATCTCAGCCTTAGATCGCCAAGGGAACAGCAATACTACTTGTGTGACTGAGGGGACACTGCTGCTAAGTGTCAGGTCTTTACCACCTGCTTGAGAAAACTCTGGACACTGAATATGAATTTTCTTACCTGGTCTCTCATTAGTTGGCTCATATACATTAGGTCCCTCACATGGTCCTGGCATATAGTCAGGAAGTGCATGAGGTAATAAGGCAGACTCTGATGGCACTCCAAAACAAGCCCCACACTTTGTAAACTGTAATAATCCTTTATGGCAATGTAGCTGGGACACCGAAACAACCACTTGGGGGATGCTGTCTTTGTGGAATAAAGAAGAAAATTTCTATCCACAAAGAGCTAAGGCAGTGATGGATCAGCATTTGGGTATATTGGGAACATTTGGACAGGGGTTGCTTTTTGTTGTAGAAGGTTGGTTTTTTCTTCCTATAATACAGCTGCCACAGGGCAAAAATATATATAGCATTCATAATTAGATCCAAGACATAATACGCTTTACACATAGCTTTTGTTTTGATAAAGTAGTGCCTGTGCATTGAAAATATTTCAGACAATACAGAAGGATATAAAAAAGAAAGTAAAATAACAAGAATCTCATTCTTTAGAAAAAATCAATGGCACCAATTTGGTGTATGTCTTTTGAGAACAGCAAGACTTTTAAAACTCAAGCCAAAGAATAATATTTCTTTAATTTTAGAACTAAAGTGTATAGCAGTTTTCACGGTCTCAGAGTTGGCAAGCATGTAAGGAAACTGGCACACACTGTTGATGGGCATGTTAATAAGTACAACCTCTACGGAGAGCAAAATTTTAAATGCACATATATTTGACGTAGTAATTCCACTTCTAGGAATTTCTCTCACAGATATATTTATAAAAGTAAGCAAAGATTACGTATAAGACTATTTGTGCAGAATTGCTCGTAATAAAAAGAACTAGAAGGGGCTGGCCCTGTGGCATAGTGGTTAAGTTTGCAGGCTCCACTTTGGCGGCCTGGGGTTCACAGGTTCGGATCCTGGGTGCGGACCTACACACCACTCATCAAGCCATGCTGTGGCGGCATCCATAAACAAAATAGAGGAAGACTGGCACAGATGTTAGCTCAGGGCCAATCTTCCTCACCAAAAAAAAAAAAAAAAAGAAAACTAGAAACTTCAATGTATATTAATAAAGAGCTTGTTAAATCAATTATGGTACATCCATATAATGGAACACCACACAGATGTTAACATATATATAAACCAGGGGCCGGCCCAGTGGTGCAAGCGGTTAAGTGCGCGTGCTCCACTGCAGCGGCCCGGGCTTCGCCGATTCAGATCCCAGGTGCGCACCGACGCACTGCTTGTCAGGCCATGCTGTGGTGGCATCCCATATAAAGTGGAGGAAGATGGGCACAGATGTTAGCCCAGGGCCAGCCTTCCTCAGCAAAAAAAGAGGAGGATTGGCAGATGTTAGCACAGGGCTGATCTTCCTCCCACACACACACAAAAATATATATATATATAAACCAGACCAAGGGTCAGCAAAATATGGTCTGGGGGCCGAATCTGTGTGCTGTTTTTGTAAATAAAGTTTTATTGGAATACAATCACACCTATTCATTTACTATCATCTATCACTGCTTTCTTGCTACAATAGTAGAGTTGAATAGTTGTGACAGAGACCGTGGGGCTCGCAAAGCCTATCTAGCCCTTTATAGAAAAAGTCTGCTGACCCCTGAACTGGACCTATGTATTCTACAAAGTCAATAAAAACACAGGTATGAAACAGTTTGCAGTGTATGATGCAATTTGTGCATACATGTTTTACACACACACACACACACACACACACACACATATATATAGGCAATTTTTTGAAGGATAAACAAAAAACTTTTCACAGTGATAACCACTGAAGGCTGGAACTGAGCAGGGGTGGAGGTGGCAACAGGAAATTTACCTTTGCATTTTATATACTTTTATCATTGACTATTCAATAAATGAGGCTGACATAACTGAGTTTCAATATGGAAAAAAATTAAATCCCTATTTTACACCATCACAAAAATAAAATTCCAATACATTAAATACCCAAATCAGAAAAATAAGACTCTAAAATTTAGAAAACAATACAGAACATCTTTATGAACTTGAAGAAGGAAATACTTTTTTTGTGTGTGTGTGAGGAAGATCAGCCCTGAGCTAACATCCACGCCAATCCTCCTCTTTTTGCTGAGGAAGATCAGCCCTGAGCTAACATCCACGCCAATCCTCCTCTTTTTGCTGAGGAAGACCAGCCCTGAGCTAACATCTATTGCCAATCCTCCTCCTTTTGTTCCGTTTTTCTCCCCAAGGCCCCAGTAGATAGTTGTATGTTGCAGTTGCACAGCCTTCTAGTTGCTGTATGTGGGATGCGGCCTCAGCATGGCCAGAGAAGTGGTGCGTCGGTGCGCGCCCGGGATCCGAACCCGAGCCGCCAGTAGCGGAGCGTGCGCACTTAACCGCTAAGCCACGGGGCCAGCCCCCAGGAAATACTTTCTTAACTAAGACTCACAAAGCTCAAGCCATAAAGAAAACAACATATGATTTTGATGACATCAAAAATGAAAATTTTGGGGCCAGCCCCAGTAGCCTAGTGGTTAAATTTGACATGCTCCACTTTGGCAGCCTGGGTTTGGTTCCTGGGTGTGGACCTACACCACTCGTCTGTCAGTGGCCATGCTGTGGTGGCAGCGAACATACAAAAAGAGGAAGATTGGCAACAGATGTTAGCTCAGGGTGAATCTTCCTCAGCAAAAAAAAAAAAAAAAAAAGAAGAAAGAAAGAAAACTTTAGTATGGCAAAAACATAAATAAAATAAAAAACAACTCACAGAAGGGAAAAAATATTTGCAAGTGATATAATACACAAAAGGTGATTATTGCAAATCAACAACAAAAATGAGCAATTCACAGAAAGGGAAAACTGAACGACCAATCAATTTACAAAAGGAAAAAAAAAGTTCAACCTCCTGGCAAATCAGAGAAATGAATATTAAAATAACATAGAAAGAAAAAGAACACAGAGATAGCATTTTCATCCACCATACTGACAAAAACTAAACACTCCGATCATATTATATTCCCTGAGTACTATGCTAAAGTGTTTGGACTGTACTCCGAAGTTTTTGTCACATGTATACTAATTTTATAGTAAACTAGTAGCTTAAATCAGGGGTTGGCAAACTTTCTGAAAAGGGCCAGACACGGACAATGTGTAAGTGAATGGGCATGGCTATGTTCTAAAATAACTTGATTTTTATGGAAACAGATTCGAATTGTGTATAATTTTCAGATCACAAAACATTATTTTTGTTTTGACATTTTTCAACTATTTCAAAATGTGAAAACCATTCTTCGCTGACGGGCCATACAAACCATAGAGCAGGCCAGATTTGGCCCACAAGCTGTAGTTGACTGATCCTTGGCTTAAATGTAAAAATATATTAAGAGTATGCTATTTGAGGTGATATCAATTCTAGTATTAGCTATGAAATGACCCTTAATATGGTTCATTTGGAATAAATACCATTAGAAGTTTCAGTCAAGAAAAAAAGAAGGGGAAAGTAGAAGGTATCGCTATTTGGTTCATTCGTCTATCCATCCAACACTTCCTGAAGGACTGATCCAGCTCCGAGCTGACACTGGAAAGGTGAAGTAAATAAGTCCCAGACCCGGGGTCCTGGGTTCTCAGAGCCCCACAGAGGGGACACGAACACATCCCACTGCTGACTAAAACATGCTTTGGTAAAGGTGAAACTGACATGAGAATATGCCAGCCAGGGACATTCTGCCCAGGGAGAAGGAGGTCAGAGAAGTCTTAACAGAAGAGAAGTCTTGAAGTCAATAATAATAACAACCATAAGATTTACTGGGCGCTCAAAAGATTCTAGGCACTGTGCAGAATAATGTTCCATTTAACTTGTCATTAAAAGTACGAGTGGGATTTGAATAGTAGAGGAGGCAGGGAAGAGTAGCTGCCAGCAGAGGGAACAGAACTTGCAAAGGCACAGGAGTGTAAATGTGTTTGGCACATTTGGAGAACATCAAGTCGTCCACGGCAGCTGAAACATGGGCACATGGTAGGAAACGGTGCGACATGAGGACAGGAAGCCAACTGAGGGCTAACTAACCGAGAGGCCCCGAACACCAGGAGAGAGGTCTTGGACTTAATCTAAGGGACAATGTGCAGGCAGGCAAGGATCTGAAGCAGAGGAGGGAAGGGTTAAGAGCTGAGTTTTAGAAAGGTAATTCTGGGGGCTGTGTGGCAGGGGGTGAAAACCCTCCTAACCCAGTGAAGGAGGCCGAGGTGATGGTGTAGATGGGAGAGGACAGGGATCTAAACCTGAGTAGAGGCAGTGGGAGTGGAGAGAAGTGAACAGGTTCTCAAGATATTCTGGAGAAAGTCGAGAAAATGCCTGTCCAGTTATCTTGATGCTCCCTGTAAAAGTGGAGATCCAGCTGTCTGCCAAATTTGAAGGTTTGGGGTGGGAGAGTATGATGACTCTGGGGGCTGTATGAATAGCCTGGCAGTAAATGCGAGAGGAATATGAGTAGAGGAATACAGGCTGAGGGCCTAGCTGCAGCTAAAGCTCAAAAAATCACCCCCCTAGACAGACAGTTTGCATCCTGGGGTAATTTTTTACCCAGAGGCCTGGAAAACCTGTACCTGGGTTGCTTTATGATGGAGAATTGCTCAACCAGCCACCACAGAAAGTCAAAAGCATAGGAATAGCTGTTTGGCCCTTTTTCCTTCCTGCTGGCTGGAATGAAAATGTGATGGCAGGAGGTGAAGCAGCCAAGACAGATCATGAGGTGAAACTGGAAATGAAGAGTACTCACAGCAGAGCGACACAAGAGAAAAGGCCCAAGTCCCTGACACCACAGAGAAACATACTAGCCCCAGACCACACACCTGGGCTTTTATGTGCAAAAGAAAGAAACTTCTATCTTGTTTCAGTCCCTGTTTTGTTAGGTTTTCTAACACTTGAAGCCAAAATTAATTGAACTTATGTCAGTTGAACTGAGTAGGGAAAAAAGTAAAACCAGGAGGGGCTGATAAGAAAGGATCAGAGACTAGAGGTTTGATCTCGTAGGTCCAAAAGCAGGTTTGGAGGGAGGGAAGTGGGGGAGGGAAGGTCATGATCAAAAGGGGAATTTGAACATTCAAGATTTCAGAAGTAGCACAATTCTCAGGGAAACATAGTTAAATTCTACCAATAACAATAACAACAATATGACTGGCAGCTCAGCATTTTTGAGAATTTAGGATGAGCCGAATACTCACTGTGCTAAGCAAGTGCTTTCCATAGATTCTCTCATTTAACTTTCCCCAAACCCCAAAGAGGTAGGTACTATTATTAGCCCTAATTTAAAGATGAGGAAGCTAAGACTCCGAGAAGTTGAATAATTTGCCCAAGATACTCAGCCACTAAGTGGTGCTTGGGATTTGATTCAAGAGCCAGAATATTACCCACGGGGATACACTACGGCCCAAATGTTCCTGTCTCCCCTTACCACCCTCCATTCCCCTCACCCAACCTCCGTCCCCAAAGGTGAAATAGAATCAAGGGCTCACCTGCAGCCACTCTCCCTGGAGAAGGAATGAGAACTCCACCCATGTCAAAAATCACAGCTCTGTAGGTGCCGCCTCCAGAATGTGTCCATCGCAGGGCGCCCTGGTGCCTGCACTGGATGTGTTTCAGGAAGGCTGCCCTCCAAGCCCACTGGAGGCGTGAGGACTGGAAAAGCCGCCTTATGCACATGTTGAGCCCGACGCTGCCTGAGAAGAAGGCACAGGCACAGCTTGCCTTCGCTGCCTCCAATCCAGACCTCCATCCTGGAGCTCAGGGCAGCCAACTGGACATCTCCCCTGATCTCCAATGAACGCTTCAAACCACAGCCAGAACAGAAGTCAGGGTCTCCGCCCTCCCTGACTGCTCCTTTTTCTAAGTTCCTTAGCTCAGTAAAGGGCTCCACCGTTCACCTCGCTGCCCGAGCCAGAAAACTGGGATTCTGCCCCAACTTCTCTCAACCCTCCCCAGCGCCTCAATTCCAGGTGCTCTGTGCTGTCAACTCTTCCTCCTGACAATCTCCATCTACCTCTCTCCACTCTCACTCCCGTTATCTCGCCCACAGATCATTGCAACAGCCTCTTAACTGGTCCCCTTGCCTCTTTTTTTTTTTTTCTTTTGTGAAGATCAGCCCTGAGCTAACATCCATGCCAATCCTCCTCTTTTTGCTGAGGAAGACTGGCCCTGGGCTAACATTCGTGCCCATCTTCCTCCACATTTTTTTTATATGGGATGCCGCCACAGCATGGCCCGACAAGCGGTGCATGGGTGCGCGCCCAGGATCCAAACCCAGCCGCCAGCAGGGGAGCACGCGCACCTAACTGCTACGCCACGGGGCCGGCCCCCGACCCCCCACCGCCTCTTCTCAAACCCCCTCCTTATTCTTTCTTCTCTCTTCAACCAGAGTAATCTTTCAAAACTCACATTTGATCACATTCTAAGCCCAGTGAAAACCTTCAATAGCTCCCCATTGCCCTCAAGATAAACTCGCAGTACCTTGACCTGCCTTAAAAGGCCCTCTAAGGTCTGCCTCCTCGCTTTCCACTGCAACTCCACCTCTTTTTCACCTTCACCTGAATGATCTGGACACGCAAATCTACGTGCAGTTTCCTCAAACACGTGATGATCACCACCTGATACTGGGCCCTTGTGTACGCTGCTTCCCTGGCCTGGAATGCTCCCTTCCACCTGCTACCTAATTCCAAATTGTCCATTAGGTTGTAGTTTACCTGTCACTTCCTTCATGAAACCTTCCTGCCTACCAGAAAAGACAGATGAGGAGTCTCTCCTGTATACTCCCAAGATGCCCTGGACTGACCCCTCCTAGCTCTCTTGATGCCACTGTCACACCATCAGCCCTCCTACAGCTCACTGCCGTAGCCTCCCAACTGTTCTCCACTGCCCCAGTTCTTTTTTTTTTAAAGATTTTATTTATTCATTTTTTTTCCCCCCAAAGCCCCAGTAGATAGTTGTATGTCATAGGTTCACATCCTTCTAGTTGCTGTACGTGGGTCTCGGCCTCGCGTTGGACGGAGAAGTGGTGCCTTGGGGCGTGCCCGGGATCCGAACCCGGGCCGCCAGCATCAGAGCGCGCGCACTTAACCGCTAAGCCACGGGGCCGGCCCCTCCACTGCCCCGGTTCTAAACTGACTTGTAAAAGGTTCAGAAAAAAACACACACGCAACACACATATATGTATATAGATATATTCCTATATACACATGTATAGAGATAAACCAAACGTGGCAAAATGTTAATAACTAGTCAATCTAGGTGAAGGGTATACAATGAAGGGTGTATGAGAGATCATTGCACTAGTCTTTCAACTTTTCTATAGGTTTGAAATTAAAAGCTGGGGAAAAAAACCAGAATAATTAAAGCAAACTCTATTTGCAGTCAGTCCCGCATGAAAATCTTTAAGCTTCTGAAACAGACTCGTAGAAACAGAAAACAAACAGGTGGTGGCCAGAGGGAAAGGAGGTTGGCAAGGAAGTGAAATAGGTGAAGGGGATTAAAAGGTACAAATCTCTATAAACTTACAAATAAGTTATGGGGATGTAATGTACAGCATAGGGAATATAGTCAATAATATTGGAATAACTCAGAGGACAGATGGTAACTAGACTTATCCTGGTGATTTCATAATGTATACAAATATCAAGTCACTATGATGTACACCTGAAACTAATATGATACTGTATGTCAATTATACTTAAAAAAAGAAACATTCACAATTATCTAAGAACACTTGAAATCTGGATTTATATTAACTATCATTAATGATGAATTCTGACCTAAGCATATATTTTGCCTTGAGCTATTAATAGTATGCTATCATCATGATTAGCAAGATATTTAAAATTTTTCTATCATCTTCATCTCATTTTAACTTCTATTTTGTGTATGTTTTGTAGTGCACTTGATATATTAATACTGAATACATATATTATTAATAAATATACATAAATCATGAAAAAAATCTTTTAAGCTTTTTATGTGATTTCTATAGCTAAAAAGCTTACTAAAAATCAGGTTAGAGCAAAACAGCCTACGAGTTTATGGGAGTCACTTCAGTGCTGCCATAAGGATTCAATAAACTTTGTTAAGAATCTAAAAAAACGATTCTTATGCAGTAAATCTGCAAGACGGTATCTCATGTAATTGTAAATTCGCTGAATTGGGGAGTGAATTTTGGAGTTAAAAATTTAGAGGTTGATTTGCATTTTCAGTTTCACTTATGTTCCTAGACCAAGGCCAAAGTTTATGATGGAGGGAGATATTTATTTATAGCCTCCTAAAAGCATCAACACATTTTGTGTGAAGGCTTAGCAGAGATGAAGTGTCTCTGGGGCCTAAAGGGCTGACTTGCATCCTCACTGAGGACACCGTCCTCCACGTACTCCTGCTAATGGATGAGTGGGCAATGCTCCCAGGACTAGCTTGCTTACACCTTTCAACTAGAGGTGATGGTTCTGTTCTAGCCCCTTACCAATGCAAAGGCTGTGCTACCTCTGTGCCCACTGACTGGAACGCCTTGCTTTACCGGCCTGGTGAACTTCCATTCATTTTCACATCATAGCCTCAGCTTTACCTCCTCTGCAGAGGTTTTTCTTTCTTTTTCCAGGCAGACTCGGGCACTACTTTTTCACTCCCGTTGGTTCTTCTCTATTCCTTCACTAGAGCACTTACCCCATTACACAGTAACTATTTTCATGTCTATCTGCTCCCATAATTTTAAGCTCCTTAAGGCAAAGACTATCTTCTTTACCTTTGTATATATCTATCTCCTGGGGCCTAGCAGTGTCTAGACACACAGCAGGTGCTCAGTATAAATAAGAGCTGGAAGGATGAATAAACTAGGTGAATCAGAAAATAGGTGAAAGCAGGGGACAGCCTCAGTGGTTGGCAGCCATAAAGAACATAACTTGCCCATCTCTAACTAACAATTCTAGTTCTCTGGAACTGGCATTTTCCTTCCATACTGTAAAGAATATTTGTTTCTCCCTGCCTCTTAGAATGAGATTAACATGATAATATAGATTTGCTACCCAAATTATTCCTTCATAAATATGCACAGCATGTTGTCATATATTAGGAGATGGTTCAGTAAAGAGATTGAGTGTTGGCTCTGGAATCAGACTGCCTGGGTTCAAACTGTAGATCTGCCACTTACTAAGTACGAGATCCTGAGCATGTTACTCTCTCTGAGCCTCAGGTTCTCCCTCTGTAAAATGGGAATTACAGTACCTATTTCATAAAGTTATTACTATTACATAAGATAAAGTATGTAAAGCACTCAAGTTAGTACCTGGCACACCATTAAATGTTATTTACTACTGTAATATACTATAAAAAGTTCACACAAGGTCTCATATGTCATATGCACATACTATGTGCATATGGCATATGCACTTTCACATAAATCAGCGAGTCTCAAAGGGGCAATTTTGGCCCCAAGGGGACATTTGGCAATGTGTGGAACATTTTCGGTTTTCACCACTTGGGAGGAGGTGCTACTGGAATCTAGTGGCCAAGGCCAGGGATGCTCCTAAACATCCTATAAAGCATAGAACACACATACACCCCAAAGAAGTAACAGGACCCAAAAACGTCAATAGTGCAGAGGTTGAGAAACCCTGATATAAACAGTATATACTGAAACATATTTCATAAGGTAAAGTCACAAGCTATATATACACATATATCATGAGGCCATGTTATTCCATATATAGTCCATATACCTACACATGTCCAGGATGTGCTGGGATACATCTTACATATCATTATAGCATATACTCAGAATAGCATCCTGTCATATACGTCTTATATATGTACTGATTGCAGCTCTTGATATCTATATGCTAAAGGCAGTCTGACGTACGGGAAAGAATGCTGAATCTCAGAAAAACTAATGTATATAAAGCCTTGCTCTGTATACATCATTTCATTTCACCCTCACAGCTGTACGAGGATATTATCCCAATTTTACACAATAACTAGCTCAAGGGCACACAACTGGTGATCAAGGACGACTCCATAAGAACAGTAACCGTGTGTTATCTTATTCACCACTGTATCCGCACCGCTCCAACAGTGCCTAGGCTCTCAGTAAACATCTGCGAAGTGATGGGTAGGGGAGTAGGACTCAGATCTGTCTCCAGCACTGAGCGCTTAACCAGCCCACCGCCCTACCTTAACCGAGTCAGAAACACTGCAATTGAGTCCCTACTCCCTATGGGATTCGCCTCTCCGAGGCTCAGCGTACCTCTCTGTAAAGTGTGGCTGACACAAAGCAACCCTGCCTAGAGCCAGATCGAGGAGTCAAACACGACAAAAAGAGGCAAGACAGGTTCTTGGGACAATTCGGAGACCTCGCGGAGCCGCGGCCCCCTCTGCGTCAGCTGAGGCGGGCTGAGGGCGGGGCCTCTAGGGAAAGTTTACTCGGGCCGGGGCGCAAACCCACCGATAGGCCTAACGTGGAGGCCAACACTCGCAAACCCCGCGACCTCCCTCCTCCCCGACCTCTTCGAGATTCCGTCCGGAGGGGCTTAGGTTCACGCTCACCTCCGCGCCGCGTCTGCAGTCACGTGGCCGCCACTCCACCCAATCGGAGCGTGCGCTGATCCGCGCATGCGTGACCCCGCGGGTCAGCGACGGCGGCCGGGAGGCGGAAGTGGAGGTTGTTGTGGCTCCGAGCGGGGAGCTGCGGCTGCTGGGGTGGCGGCTGCTTCGCTGAGGTGGTGGCGGCGCTTCCCGTCCCGGGCCGCTCGGCCTCTAGGCTCGCTTCCCAGCCTCGCCTTAGCCCGCCGGGGCCCGCGTCTGCCCTATGAGTGTGTCACTGGTTGTCATCCGATTGGAGCTCGCGGAACACTCGCCCGTCCCCGCTGGCTTCGGCTTTAGCGCCGCGGGTGAGTCCCGCGGCCTCGCCGCCGTCCCTGTAGCCGGCGCCCCGGCCCGAGGGGCTCGTCCTCCCCAAGTACGGCCCGGAGAAGGGCTGCGGCGGGCGCTTTGGCTCAGGAAGAAGCTGAGAGGTGGTTGGGTTCCCTTCATCGTCCGTCCTTAAGAGGCCTCCCCAGATGTCATCTTCGGGAAGCGCTTCCCGGTCTCTCCCTCCCGGTGCTTTTCCACGGCGCTCTGTTTACACCTGGCGCCTCGCCCTCTCCGTCCCGGGTTAGAGTCGAGTTGTGTAGACTTCGCTCCAGGCTTGGTGAAGGCAGGTCCTGGATCCCCAGCCACGCTGACGGGCCCGTTGCTCTCTGAGAGAATATGCATTTAGGCGCCCTGTAACAGTAGTAATAACTATAACTAGAGTTTGTACACTTCCTAAATCCCAGCCCTGTAGTAAACACTTTGTGCGCATTATCTTCCTCATCTTCACGACTCGGTTCAGTAGGTGTGTGGTGTGCCCCTTTTACAAATTGGGAAACTGAAGCCCAGTGATTGAATGGCTTGCCCAAGTGGTGAAACTGGGATTCTAACTCAGAGCTAGACTTGAGAGTCTGAGCTCTTCACTACCGGCCACACAGCCTCCTTCGGTGGGGAGTGCAGCCGTGACTGTTCCTGGGACCTCAATTACCTACTGGTAACGTTTATTCAGGAAGTACTTGCGGAGTGCCCACTATCTGCTGGAGCTTTCGTTGTTGCAGAATGAGACATGGTCCCTGCTTTAACGGCACGGCAGTTCAGTGGGGGAGACAGATGAATCAAATTATTACAGAATAAATGTAGACATACAACTGCAATAAGTGCTGTGAAGGTAAGGAAGAAACAGTTTGGAAAACTATTATGAGAAGGTCTGTGGTTTGGGGAAGGGAACTGGGGCAGGTAGGGATGGATGGTGTCATCGGAGACTTTCCTGAGTATGTGAATTTTGGAGCTGCAAATTAAAGATTGAATATGATTTAATGGGTTACAAGCACCTTTCAAAAGCTAACAGTGATCTTTGAGTTCTGAAAGTAAACTAAATCGACGTTAGCCACATAGACACTTCTACAGTCAGTCATGATTCATTTAGTCATTTATTCAACAGATCTTTTTAGAGCTTCCAGTGTGTGCTGGGCACACTGCTGGGCAATGTGGTGTAAGTGGTGGGGATACAGTGGTGGGTAAGCAGACCTGGTCCCTGCCCTGATAGAACTTTATATTAAGGGTATTTCAGTTGAGTCTCCAAATTCCTTTTTCATTTTTGTGTGTTTCATTGATTTAAGACAGTGGTCACAGATTTTCATGGCATGAGGCTAACACAGGGTATTTAAGAAGACTACCCCTAAAGGTTTTTATAAGTTTTGTTTATTAATGGTAATGACTTGATACCTTCATTTTGGGCTCAACACACAGTTTCGCTTTATCAGGTATTACTAAAACGTTGGTTCATCTGGACATAATCACTGTGGAACCTTCCTTAAGCTGTTACTCTTGTTGATTTGCTTTAAAGTGCATGATTTCACTAGAACAGCCCTGCATTTCTGAGTTTATTGTAGTGAGTGTTAATTAACTATCTGCTATGAACTGCCAGAGCCCCAGAGGTGGGTGAGATGGACACTGCAAAGGCATCTTCTTATCTTGGGGGAGGGCAGCAGAGAGAAAAGGGAAACCTGTGGATGGATACATTGAGAGTAGAGAGGAGCTTCTTTTATTATCAGGTGTTAATCATTCATGTGTTCTTTAGCCGGGGAAATGTCTGATGAGGAGATCAAAAAGAAGACACTAGCTTCAGCTGTAGCCTGTTTAGAAGGGAAGTCACCAGGGGAGAAAGCAGCAATCATACATCAGCATCTTGGCCGTCGAGAAATGACAGATATGATCATTGAAACCATGAAGTCCAACCCAGGTATGCTTTCTAAAACCCAAGACTCTCTTTTGTAACTTAAGCCCCTGGTTGCCTGTTTCATACATGTTGTTCAATGAGCCCATGATTTTGACCTTTAGCATACTTTTATCTTTCACTACTTGTTTGCCTTACTTGAGGTTGTCAAGCCACATTTCAATTTCTCAAATGTTTCTCCTAAATTAATCCTAACAAACTGGGTTGGCAACTCTATTCAGTGAGGAGAGCTACTTACCACCTAGGTCAGTGGCAGATTATGAATGAATCCAGAGAAGCATGTCGTGTCTCCCTCTGCTCTGCCAGCTCACTCCAACCAGGGGAGTGGATGTATGCTACCTCTCCAGCACAAAGGTGGTCAGAATTGGTAGGTTTGGTTTTCAGACTTAATAGTCCTGAATGTTTGTCCCACTTAAGAGTGCATGGTGGAAGACACCTGCTCTTATTGTGGTACTGCCCGATGTAAGAGCCATCCTTGAGTTTCTGAGGATGTTAATGAGATTTTTATGGGGCAAAGAGCGCTTTCAAGTTGAGATGCTCCCGTAACTCAGCTGTTCTGTGAATTTAGTTCTTAAGCAATACATTACAATTTCTCTGTCAACGTTTATTCTTCTAACTTGAAATTTTAATCTAATTAGAATCCTTCAGGGCCAGCCCGGTGGTGCAGCAATTAAGTGCGCGCGCTCCGCTGCGGCGGCCCGGGGTTTGCAGGTTCGGATCTCCGGCGTGCACCGACGCACTGCTTGCTAAGCCATGCTGTGGTGGCGTCCCATGTAAAGTAGAGGAGGATGGGCACGGATGTTAGCCCAGGGCCAATCTTCCTCAAGAAAAAAGGGGAGGATTGGCATCGGATATTAGCTCAGGGCTAGTCCTCCTCACAAAAAAAAAAAAAAAAAGATTTCTTCAGTATATTTCCTATCAGTTTATAATCTGCTAATTTTTAATTTGTGAAAGATGAGCCGAAAGCTACAATAGAAGAAAGGAAGTCTTCAGAAGCATCCCCCACTGCACAAAGAAGTAAAGATCAAAGTAAAGAATGCACAAATGCTGCTCCCGATTCTCCATCCAAACAACTTCCAGACCAGATTTCCTTCTTCAGTGGAAATCCATCAGTTGAAATAGTTCATGGTATTATGCATCTATACAAGACAAAGTAAGAAAAACCTTTTTCCTTTTGATTTGGTATGTTTTTTTGCGTTAGGGCAGAGAAAAATCTCTTGCCCTAAAGGATAGTACTTTCACATGTCGTGGGTCAGAGAATTCTTCGATGTTTTACTTGTAGACTGGGGCAGAGCTTCTCCTTATAGAGGAGATATGTAGATGCACTTGAGAAAGTACCTAGGGAAACATTCCCTGAGAAGGTAAGCATGCAAGCTGATTGGGAAATTGGAAGGAAGGAAGATAAAGAAGGAAAATTATGCGTGATCCGTACCATCGTTATAGTTTCGTATCCCCACCAAAGCTTTACTAAAGAAGCTGCTAAGAAGTCAGTGCATGGATTGTAATTTCGTCACCTCTTTTTACCCTTGTCTGAGGTCCACACAAAGCTTGCTGGAGGCCAAAGGAGGCCAAAGCATTTGCCTAGGTGATCTGTAAGCTGGGCCATCAGCTCCTTGGATAATTGGCAGCCGATCTCTTTAAAGGCTGTCCTTGTCCTGACTTGTTTGCTGGGTCCCCACTGGGAAACAGTGAGTACTCAGGTAGCTGTTTTGGATCACAGCTGTTGAAGTGAGTTTGCAGCATTTCAAAAGCAAATTGCATCATGAGAGGGTTTTCTTTCCTCTCTCCTCCAGCTATTCCAACCCAGCAACACTTTGTGTAATCTTTAGAGCCACATCCTCATGGTTCAGAATTCTCTTTCTTATGTTTGGAGCTCTTTTCTCATCTAGACCCTTCAAGAGAAGTCCCTAGTTAGAGTGTGCTTCTAAGTTACCTAATGACAGATTGTTATTAAAAAAACTAATGAGGATAAAACACGAACTGCAAATTTGCCTAACGCAGATTTATAACCATAACAAGCCTTTAATTGATTAAAAATTTCAGTGGTGGGTGTAATGTAGAACATTTCCAAGCTTACCTTAAACTCCATTGCAGATATGTTTAAGGGATTCTGCATTTACCCATGTGGTATGTATTTTCAGGTAAAATAAGCTGTTTAAATGGATTTATGAAGTTCAGTCATGTGCTGCATAACGATGTTTCGGTCAATGACGGACCGCATATACGGTGGTGGTCCCATAAGATTACTACCATATAGCCTCGGTGTGTAGTAGGCTATACCATCTAGGTTTGTGTAAGTACATTCTGTGATGTTCACACAACAACAAAATTGCCTAACAACGCATTTCTCAGAATGTATCCCTGTTGTTAAGTGACACATGACTGTATTACAAGTTGGTTTTTTTTTCCTATTTTCTTGGACATAAAAGTTGTCTAATTAGTGTTGTCTGAACTAACTATACCTCATCTATTCAAGACAGTCTAATTATTGTCTTATTAGTAAGATGACCTCCTTAAAAGAAGATGTGAGGCGCAGTGCCATGCTGTGTATTCTCACAGTCCCTGCTACAATGACCAGTCATGACCTTATGAAGTTTGTCGCCCCATTTAATGAAGTAATTGAACAAATGAAAATCATCAGAGACTCTACTCCAAATCAATATATGGTGCTGATAAAGTTTAGTGCACAGGTAAAAGTTAAGATATTAAAAATCTCTTTGCTACAGAAACTGTTTTTGAAACTGTATGATACTAGCTGTATGTGATTTACAACATTTTGCACTTAGGATTCTTGATATATGTATCTTCTAGGATATTGTCATAATTCTAGAAATATTTCTAAATTCCTTAGACAACTCTAATTCATACTCACCATTTTTTATAAATCAAGTTGGGTATGAAATCTTGGGTTGTGTTTGTTTGTTTATCCAGTAGTAATTATTCCAGTAGAGCAATAGTTCCCAAACTTTTTGAAGTTGACACTATATTATTAAAGATAGCTCAGAGTTCTGATTGGAAATCACTACAATGGAGAGAGAGAAACATTGAAAGAATGATGATATTTTCAGTTTTTAAAAGTACTTGTGTTTTATAACAGATATTTTTTGATATAGGAAGGTTTTGCCATTTAATCCATTTCACTTGTTGCATTAAGCAACACTTTCCATGTGCCTCAGATCTAAAGAACTTAGAAAGATACTCTTGGTTTTACAAATTCATTCTTATGAATATGCATGTTTCTATACGAATATAAAAATGAGGTAAGCTTTCAGTATTATCCACGTTGTTAAAGAGCTACCCTGTCTGTAGGTTTCATTTAATATGTTTTTTTAATATCCTCTTATATTTGTCTGTTGAAATTTCATTAGGTTTTGAAATGCAGCTTTGTCAAAAGTTACTTTTTTCGTTGATAAACAGCCTTCCTGAATTTGCTCCAGAAAAACAGTTCCAACTTGCAGGTTGACAAAGAAATTGGTATGCCTGTAGGATAATTTGCCAGTGCCTCTGACCAATCACCGAGATTGGTGGGTGAAAGGGAGCCCATGACACAAGGCCTGCTTGTTGTCTCCTCCTACCTCATTACAGAATCCAGAGTTGACAGCAGTAGCAGCCATTCGTTGGCCATGGGGAGGAAATTAAGAGAAGTGTGAGTTGGATTACATTTGTACCTGTTCCATAGGCCAGAGAAAGAGAACCCTCAGTGTGGAGTTTGCTGTACAAGAGGGTACACAGTTGTTATCTCTAACCTTTACAAAGCACCCCATCATTAAGGGAGACATGTAAAACACGTGTTTCAACTATCCTGTAGGCTTAAACTTCACAAGTTGACATTGAGAACAGGAAAGCACTTAAACAACTGCTTTCTGTGACTGTCAAGAGACCTTCCACGGAGCTTTGCACACAATGGGCAAGTGGTACTTTAAACCTTTTCAGTCTGGTAGCACATGTAATAATAAGGATAATGATGATAGTGTACAACCTTTATTGATTGCTTATTTTATACCACTCACTGTGCCAAGTGCTTAATGTGCATTGTCTCGTTGAATCCTCACTGCAACTCTAGGAGCTACTGTTATTATCCTTGTTTTAAAATCAGGATTTTAAAGAAGAGACCAATGTGTTCAAAAAAACATATTTCTGTGGTATAGGTAAACCACTCTCCCAAGAAAGGAATAATTTATCTGATGTTAAGTAGGGTTTGTCACATGCCCAGTGTCACAAACCTTGTCCCTTCCTCTGAGGAGGCATGGTTGCTTTGCAAGCATTTACAGAGCTGGAGGGCTGAGGAGGGGCTGCGGCTGCAGCCAGCTCCTGGTGGTGCTTGAGGCCCTCAAGAGCCGACCTGTGGCCCTCACTTGCAGGTAGCCACGCCCTCAATACCTGAATCTATTTGTTCACTGTGCTGCTTACTCACCCAAAAGCATTTCAAGAAAAAGCCATTGCTCTGGAAGAATGAGGGAAGCCATTTCAGGTTGCTTCCTCTTAGTATTAAAGGGATTTATTGTCCAAGAACTATCTTTTAACATTTTGAAGTTAAAATGCACTGTACCGAATACACTGGTTGTTTCCTGAAGGAAAGCCCCCTCCCCCTCATAAAACTGTGTTCCGAGTTGATCATCCTCAGCTGCTTAGCTCGCTTGGTCATATTAAGAAAGCATAAATAATCAAGAATTCCCACTTGAATTACATCATCAGAATGAAATTAAAATTCATTCTGCTGAAAAGCTTACAGTGGCTGCAAGATTCAGAACTCTAGGAAGGTAGACAAGCAGGACTATTTTTGCTTGGTACAGACTTGAATCTCTTCCTGGAGGTTGACAATTTGGCATTTCCTTTTGCAGAACACCCTTTCTGCCCCCAAGCAGCTTGTCTACATTGGTAGAACCAAAGCACACACCTTCCTACGTTTGGCTAATGCCTGTGTGGGAGTGAGATCCAGACAAGCCTTGGCCTCCCAGCTGCCTCTAAAAATTGCTGAGTTTAAAAACTGGAATTGTTCCGGTGGCACAAGCATTTAAGTGCACAAGTTCCACTTCAGTGCCCCGGGGTTCGCGGGTTCGCATCCCGGGCGTGCACCAACGCACCACTTGTCACACCGTGCTGTGGCGGTGTATGTATGTTGGCCCAGGGCCGGTCTTCCTTGGCAAAAAAAGAGGAGATCAGCATCGGATGTTAGCTCAGGGCTGATCTTCCTCACAAAAAAAAAAAAACTGGAATCATCTCTTTGTTACTTTCTACTAAGGCTACACTGGAAGGTTTGATGTACTTTGTGTCCACGTTCACAAATGCACGTATGCCTCCGCAGCTTTCAGGGAACTGTTGCCCCTGATTCCGTCTATCTTCCACTCCCTGGCAAGGAGACTATTAGTATTTTAAAGGCTGGTTCATCTTTTTTTTTTAATTTTTTAAATTTTATTTATTTATTTTTTTCCTCCAAAGCCCCAGTAGATAGTTGTATGTCATAGCTGCACATCCTTCTAGTTGCTGTATGTGGGATGCGGCCCCAGCATGGCCGGAGAAGCGATGCGTCGGTGTGCGCCCGGGATCCAAACCCGGGCCGCCAGCAGCGGAGCGCACGCACTTAACCGCTACGCCACGGGGCCGGCCCAAGGCTGGTTCATCTTGACCTTTTGATCTTGGCCAAGAATTTTGCTTTTGGTAGAACACACTCATTTGTTTAATCCTTGTCTATCTTATATTATTATTGTTTGGTTTATTGAAGAGAAGGAGTTGGCTTTTCACTCCATACCAGTTCCACTGGTTTTTTATTTTTTCTAACACAGATGCTGACTTTTTTATAAAAGAGCTCTTCTCTAACAATCGTCAGTTATGATTTGGTTCCAAGGTCTGCAAAAATAAGTGTTGACTCTCAGCCGCCGAGAAAATGCTGACTAGAGAAAAAAAATACTGGTATCAAGGGAACCATTGACTGTTGCTGGTTGAATATTAAAATCGTATGGGCTGGCCCCATGGCTTAGTGGTTAAGTGCGCGCGCTCTGCTACTGGCGGCCCGGGTTCAGATCCCGGGCGTGCACTGACCAACCGCTTCTACGGCCATGCTGAGGCCGCGTCCCACGTAAGCAACTAGAAGGATGTGCAACTATGACGTACAACTATCTACTGGGGCTTTGGGGATAAAAAGGAGGAGCATTGGCAATAGATGTTAGCTCAGAGCCGGTCTTCCTCAGCAGAAAGAGGAGGATTAGCACGGATGTTAGCTCAGGGCTGATCTTCCTCACAAAAAAAAAAAAAAATTGTGCTAGCTGTCAGCTTGTTGCACTTCATTAGCTTCTGTGAGTTCAAGTGAAACTGTCACGTGTCAGGACCATTGTGGAGATGTAGGACGTTGACCTGCAGAGTTCTGTTAGCATATGAACCTGCTTCCACAGATGTTACTTTTGGCGGTTGCTTTCTCTCCTAAGTATAAATTTTAGAAGCTGATGAAGGGAATAATTGAAGCCATGTATCTTGAAGATAAAGCAAGTTTTCAGGATCTCTCTCTTAATTTTTTGCTCTTCCCCATTGGTGTGCCTAGGCTGATGCAGATAGTTTTTATATGGCGTGCAATGGCCGCCAGTTCAACTCAATAGAAGATGATGTTTGCCAGCTGGTCTATGTGGAAAGGGCTGAAGTACTGAAATCTGAAGATGTAAGTGTGAATAATTCTTGTACTTGATATAAATATATCAGAATGGTATAAAGTTGAATGTTAAAATATCTGTGGAAATGTCCAGAATAGGCCAATCCATAGAGACAGAAAGTAGATTAGTGGTTGCCAGAGGCTGGGGGAAGAGGAAGGGAGTAACTGGTAACAATTACGAGGTTTCTTTTTGGGGAGATAGAAATGTTCTAGAATTAGTGTTGATGTCTACACAACCTTGTGAATGTACTAAAAACCACTGAATTATACACTTTAAAATGGCAAATTTTATACTGTTTGAATTTTATCTCAATTTTTTTGAACTGTCCAAAATTAGAAAAAAGAAAAGGTATTATCAGTGTTGTTGAAATTGAACGTTCATCTATTCGAGATCAATGAAGCATTGCCTGGAGCCTAAAAGAAGTGTTTTTGTTTTAAATATTAACCCTTAATCCTCATCCTAATTCTTGATTCTGTTTTGATAGCAACTTGTAATTGCTCTGAACTGCCACCCTCTATGAGAACCTTTCCAACAATAAGTGCTCGCTTGAATCATTTTATCAAGTAGTAGATATCAGCTCATATTTTTAAGATTTCTTTTCAACTAGACCTATGGGGCTTTTTACTTCAAAATCAGCTTGATGAAAATAAGTTCTCAGTAGATGGTTCTATCATTAGATTAGGTAAAATAAAAATTGATAAGTGGGGCCGGCCCCGTGGCTTAGCGGTTAAGTGCACGTGCTCCGCTGCTGGCAGCCCGGGTTCAGATCCTGGGCGCGTACCAACGCACCGCTTGTCAGGCCCTGCTGTGGCGGCGTCCCATATAAAGTGGAGGAAGATCAGCACGGATGTTAGCCCGGGGCCAGTCTTCCTCATCCATTGGCATGGATGTTAGCTCAGGGCTGATCTTCCTCACACACACACAAAAAAATTGATAAGTGATAAAATCGGGCTTCCCTTGTGCCAGATGCTTTGCAAGGCCTCAATGTGAGACTCTCTTTCTCTAAATGAACATGGTTTTTTGAGACATTTCCTGTAAATATCTACTCTTCAGGGACCATAGATTAATGTGATTCTTCTCCACGTCTTTATGTGTGTGCCTGCCCACCTTTGCCTCAGTAATTCCTGCTCGTCTTACGGCTGACAGGGCTCAAGTCCGACATGCTATCTTAGGGGTACTTTTCTTGACCACGTCCAGCATTGTGACTGGAGACCATTCTGCCCCCTATTGCACACCCTGGTAGAGCTTCCTGTACTTCTTTGACAGCACTTATGACTATTGGTAATTACATTTTTTTTTTTATTTGATTTTTGTCTCTCTCACTACTAGATTCTGTGTTCTATAAGGGCAGGGGGTGACTTTGCTTTTTTGGACTCACTGACTTTGTTTTTGCTCACCGTTGTTCCACACCTAGAACAGTGTCGGCATACACAGCAGGGACTCAATAAGTATCTGTTAAATTAATACATAAAACCAGTGCTGTTGATACTGTTATCACTTAGTAGAACGTGTTAAATTTTAATTTAATCTGTGGAAAAATCATTCAGATCCATTCCTATTCTACTGCTTTTATTCATTAGTGTTCTATTATAGTCATAGATCTTTAGAGTAAGAGCTAGGAGTCGGGTAACATTTTATTTTATTTATTTATTTTTTTCTTTTTAATTTTTTGTTTATTGTAGTAACATTGGTTTATAACATTGTAAAAATTTCAGGTGTACATCATTGTACTTCTATTTCTGCATAGATTACATCATGTTCACCACCAAAATACTA